ATAAATGCAGAAAGTGTTTTCTGGATAAAGTTGAACAAATTTTATAAATCTATCACTTAACAAACAACAATTATCTTTTTCATAGAAACTCTTATTTCTTTGCTCTTCACATGTTTCACAAAAAAAAAAATTGAAAATAATTAATATTTGAAATTTAAAAAGATAGTTTAGGTATAAATATGAATTTTCAAATTAAGGTATAGACGGACAAATTAAAAAAAAACGTTCTTTATTTCTAATTTTTCTCTTCTTTTTAATTATTTTTTAAGAGGGTTTCTCGTTAGAGACCGCAATGGTGATGCTCTAAGTCCCATTGATTAAGATTTTTTTTTTTTTAATCTTCAGTCCTTATCCAAGTAGGACTAAATCAAAATGAAGAAATCTTGCATCTTGCTTCGATGACGAAATCTTTATCTTGTTCATAATTAATTGGAATTATTTGTTATTTGTTATTGTTCATAATACAATAGAAAATATATTTGTTATTTTGTTTATTACTAGATTAAGAATATTAGGACTCGCGTTGGTAAGCAGATAAACACATTAAAAATACAGATACATAATTATAATTTAATTTCAATTTTTAATTTGTTAAATTTTATAATATTTTAAAATACTAATTAGAGACATATCACGATCAAAGGTAGTTTTGTTTATGTGTTACATTCTCGTTGAACCAATTGAGTTTGCATTGGATCGGATTTATAGTTTGCTTCGGGTTTCAATTTATTTTAGTTATGTTTTTTTTAACTCCAACTAACCAATTTGAATTCTATCAGAAATGTAGTTTTTTTTTTTTGGGCAAAGAAGATTTTATAAATGATAAGCTTACACTCGACTAGGGAGGCATTGTTTAGAGATCCTAAAACAGATTTAGCCAAAGAATCAGCCAAACCATTGCTTATACGGGGAATAAACACAAAAGATAGATTGATAAAAGATCCCTCCAACTCTCTGATATCAAGGAGAAGCCCACGTAATTCCACAGTGGCTTTTCTTGAGTTAAGTAGGGATATGAGCACTTTGCAATCAGAGAACAAATGAAGTTCCCTTATGCCTCTAGCCAGTGCATCGTAGAGAGCATTCTTGACCGTCAAGGTTTCGGCTGCAAGAGCTGATGCAACATGGTAGTAATGTGCCGTTTGTTGAGCAAAACTTACATTATTTGCTTCGGTAAAATGCCACCCCATTCCACAGTGACCGGAGGCTTCTAACCATGCTGCATCAACATAGCAACATATAGACTCGGGTAACAGGGGATCGGTAGCTTGAGTTTCTCTCACCGGTTCGGTACTTTAATTTTCTCCACATAAATGATTTAATTTTCGGTATTGTGGGGAGCTTCCAAATTCAATCGGAAAACCAAACCAGTTCATTTACCGAAACCAGTTCATTTACCCAAACCAGTTCATTTACCGGTACTTTAAGATATCCCGATTTTGTGGTATATACTCCTGATTTTTCCGATAACCAAACCAGTTCATCTGGAGCTGCCACGGAAGGTGGTGCAAATCAGAAATGTAGTTTTGCAACATATTTTCCGCTTCTTGATCCAACGGTTAGTCGAATTTGTTTCACTACCTCGACAAAAAAGATCCAACGGTTATTATTGGTGCGGATAATAAAATTTCATACGAAATTGCATACAAAGGAAAATGGAACCATTAGCATTACTCAATTGGACCACTAGGCACCACAAACTCAACAACAATGGTATCATCAACAAAATCACCAAATTTTTCCATAACCAAATCCTTGTGATTCTTCTTCATTTCACTAAAATCCTTAAAATACGCAATCGAAACAATCGAAAAACCATTACATCTCGCCGGTGAAAAGTTTTCACCAGCAGTAATCTGATCAATCTCTGGAGATTTCTCACTAATCACTTCCATAATCTCCGATTTCACTTCATCTGAAACATTCTCTTTAACCTTAACCAAACTGATTTTCCCGACCGAACCGGGAACCAGAGCTAAAGTTGTTCCGGGGATTAGATCAGCGATCCAATCAACGGCCATGACATCTTCCCAGACCGGCAACAATTCTTCAACAACACGAACGTGATTTGGATGATCAACGTAGGCTTTGAGATCGCCCTTGGATCTATATCTGCTATGGAGGACGTGAGTGAAGACGGAGTTGGAGTTAGATCGGAGACGGTGGATAGATCCGGCGGAGAGGTGAAGGACTTGGTCGATTTTGACAAGATTTTGAAGGTCGTTGACCATGGAGTCGAGTTTGGTTGAGTCAACGTTTTCTTTGACTTTGAAAAGGACGATGTGTTCGATGATTTGATGAGTCTCAGAGGTTGAAGAAGACATAGCTACGAAGGAAAAGGATGCAGAGAAATGGAAGGTGAAGATTAAACGTTAGAAAAATAGAAGATGAGACTGAGATATATATTATTAAGAAGAAAATATTTTTTTAAGAAGAAAATATATTTTGATTTTGATTT